GGGCATAAGCATTCGGACGGACACTCGAGAGCCGACTTCCTGATTGCAGATGGTTCCACCACGCGCTACCCCTGAACGTGGCGAGTCTGGTGGCGGGGGTGATGGTGGGGACGATGACGACGATGGACACTTTGGTCACGACCCTGGGCCTCGCTTTGGTGGACGTTGACGAAGCTTCGCTGGTGGTCCTGCTGGCGGCGCTGCTGACCCACAGGATGGAGGCAACGACCCGTGTTCGGCGGGCTTGGGTCCCCGCAGTCGAAGATGCCGCGACGCCATGGCCTGCTTCTTTCTGCGCAGTCCTCCCCCGCCTTCCGCGCGACGCGGAGGCCGAGGAATTTGCGCCGCAGCCGTCCTAGATTGATGTGGACAAAGCTGTTTTGGATGCCCTCTGCCCTCGTTGTGGACGCGCGGCTGGCCTACCTGCTGCTGCTGCTTTTGGACCGAGCTCTATTTGGGACACGCCCGTGCTTCCGACGGCCGGTGCCCAAAATGGTCTTGAACTCCCAGATGGGGGTGCGCTTCCAGATAGTCGTGGAGGCGAGTTCTGCGAGGTCCTAGAGTCCAGAGAGCCGAGCAAGACGTTCGCTGTCGGAGCCAGCCTTTCTGCTCGCACGCTTTGGGTGCCGACCTGCGGCGTTGGCTGGCGAGGGCGCGCGGCGCTGGCTGCTGTTTATGCCTGATCCTTCAGCGCGCGCGGCTGAGCGGAGCATGTTCGACTTTTTGCTTCTTCGCGGATCCCCAGCGGCCAATCCAGACACGATACTTGGTTTTCTTCGAGTCGTTTTGGAGGCTATCTTGAGCCGTTCTCAGCTAAAGGCTGTCGGAGGCTATCCCGAGCCACGCTCATCTATCTTGGGCCATCGTGAGCCTGGCTTGAGGCCTCTTGGAGATCAGTCGGAGGTTATCTTGAGCCATGCTCGGAGGGCAAGATCAGGAGGAGGAGGAGGAAAAAGGAAGAGGAGGAGGAGGAGGAGGGGGGGGGAAAAGGGGGGAGGGGGGGGGAGAGGGGTGGGGCAAGAGAGACAGAGGAGGAGGAGGAAAATGAGGCCGACGAGGAGGGGGAAGAAGAGAAGGAGGAGGAGGAGGAGGAGGAGGATTCACAGGACTGCGGCACGAGAGAGAGAAGGAGGAGAAGGATGAGGAGCATGAGGAGGAGGAGGAGGAGGAGGGAGGAGGAGGAGGAGGAGGAGGAGGAGGAGGAGGAGGAGGAGGAGGAGGAGGAGGAGAAGGAGGAGGAGGAGGAGGAGGAGGAGGGAGGATTTGGAGGAGGGAGGAGGCGGGACATGAGGAGGGAAGGAACGGACGGCGAAAAGGAGGAAGGGAAGCCGAGCTTTTGAGACGACGAGGGCCAGCTTAAGGGCTCACTTGGGGTCCCACTGGGGCCTCCTAGGGTTCTTGTGGAGCCCCCTTGAAGATATCTTTGCAGGTCTTGGAGCCCTCTCGGGGCTCATTGGATGTGGCCGGGGTGGCCTATTGGGCCCCGTGGCTCAAAACGTGGGGGGTGCCCAATTCACCTTGAAAAAGATACAAGGGGACTGTATAGCGAACGCTACATCCGCCGTTGCCTTGGCTCAAGGTAGCGCCATCCTATCTGCCTGTTTCACGATAGCGAGACAGTATCGGATCATTGTATCAGATAGAGGCCACGTCTATCAATTATCCACCTTTCCATCGCATGGTTTGTTTGTTACCCCCCGCCGTACTTGCCATCAACAGGTGGGCTGTGGGATGCTTCGATACGTCGCTGGAAAAGTCCGAGCAGGTTCCGTCGATGGTGCCCAGTGACGCGTTTATTGACGTGGCGAAGGTCCACCATTTCGACATCGGGGACGGGGGACCCACGGTCGACGAGCATGACCGTTTCAACGATCGGCGCGCCGATGATTGGGGGCAAGTGGATTTGCGCTAATTTAATTGCGAGTTCACGGGCGACGGCCGAGCGCAAGGAAGTGCAGGGGGCGTGCGATGCGCTTGCAGATGAGCCCATGGAGCTTCGTGAATTCATTTGGGAGCTCCATCTGCAGGTTGACAATGCGCTGAAGAAGAAGTTCTTGCCGACGGCGATCGCGGCGGCCAGCGGCAGGCAGATTAAGACCTGCGACCGCGAGCGGAGCTTTGCCGCCAGTCGACTTGAAGGTCCGTGGAACTCGACTTGGCGGCGCGCGTGGCCGACGCGAAGGCCTCGAAGGGGGCGCGCTGGGCTGGCGACCTTGACGAGTGCGCCAAGCAGGTGGCGCCCGAGATCTTGGCGACGCGGCGGTGCAGGACGTGACCGGCGCGGAGGCCATGATGTCCCAATGTCCCTGGAGTTCGAGGGGGTGCAGGAGGTGGGGCACGTGGAGGCAATGAAGGTCACGACGGGGGCGAAGGTGCCGATTGTCGACGTCCAGATGGCCAATGATGAGCCCCCATATTGAAAACGTCGGTATGGATGCGGCTGCGGCGCCGGAGGGGGAGAAGGCGGCCCAGAATGCGGTGAAGGTGAGGCGATACCCTTTGCAGGGCCATCCATATGGCGAGCAGTGAGCCCGCCTGGCAGCCAAGGCCAAGAGGGTGCAGCTGGGGCCCATGCGACCCGTATTCATAGGTCCGATGCTGAAGGATGTGATGGGAGCCCAAGTGGAACCCAAGAAGGAGGTCGCGCAGCGCCTCGCTACTCTCGAAGGGTTGGTGCAGGCTGCTGTCGACATAGATATGGGGAGGCATTGCATATCGAGTGTGAGCTGAGCGTTAGTTTCTGCTCTGATCAAAGGTTTGCAAGGCATTATGAATTATATGCGTATTCTTTTCGGCGATAAATCGCTGTGCCGCAGCGGAGAAGGGGCACCAGCTTGCACCACATGACTTATACCACAGAGCTTACCTAAAATATATCGGTCCAAATAACGCATACCGCATAGCATGCACCACGTAGCACTCACACGACATAGCAAGCGCCACAAAGCGTATCCTACACAGCTGGTACCACACCACACAGCATGAACCACGAAGCCTACGCCACATGGACTACACACGCGCAGCGATATAACCTACAGTTGTGGGTCTTCGCTGGCCAACATTATACTTGCCATAGAAGCACTCACATGATATTTCCCGCGATAGTCTCATTATGGTGGGGAGCTGCCCTCAATCCGTGCAAGTGCTGCACACCTTTTACACTTGCAGTGCTACGAGTTGAGGAACGAGCCCCACATCGGAAAATGTTCGGCCCCCATTTGCGCAATGGTGGAAGTTTCCAAACGAATGCGCGCGGGGCCCAGGCGAACGCCACAATTCGAAAAAAATGTTTGCCTCCTGCCACGCACGCTTCTAGCAAATTCAACGTTGGGGCCGTCGATTGCAATGGGGTCCCAAGCGAAACCTATGGCCCGGCCTGCAAACACGTCTGGTCGTGCGAGAGGCTGGGAGCAGGCATTCACGGTTTTCGGCCAATCCCGCCACAATGCCTGGGGCGTGGACCAAAGCCTTGTTGAATGTATGAACGAGTCTCGTGGGGTGGTTTTCGCAAAAACCTTTCCGTGGGCTCTCGGAGGCATCTCAGGGGGCCTCTTGGGGGCGTCTGCGGGGTCTTTTGGGGCCTCCTGGGGGAAACCTCTTGGGGCCTTCTGGAGGCATCTTGTGGGCCTCTTGGGGGCCTCTTGCTGCCTCTGGGGCCTGCGGCTGGTCTGAGATGTCAGCCGAGGGCTCGACATTCCAGTTCGTGTTCCCCATCTTGAGATCCTCCCGGGGCCCTCGGGGGCTTCTCGGGCCGTGTTGGGCCCTTGCGGATCAGTTTGGGACGTCTCTGGGCGATTTTAGTGACCTCTTGGGTCGTTTCGGCCCGCCAGGAGCCCGAAATGGCGAGAACGCAAAACTCTGCCCCAAGCATGTGGAAAGTCAATGACGTCTGCCTCTTGGGACCCTCGTTCGCGGTCTCTTGGAGCCTATATTGGCGGCCTATTTTGGGCCGTCTTGAGTCCATCTTCTGCGTCTTGGAGCGCTCTTGGGTCGACTCGGCACGTTCTGTTTCATTGTCGTGGGGGCGTCTCGGGCCCTCCTTGCACATCTCGGGGCCCTCTGGCCCAAGAACGGTCTAGCGGGAAACATCGGGAGGCACGCTGGAAACCTCCAGAGCTGTGGGCCCGCTGCAGAGCAACCACACTACCCAACACAGTCGGCGCGCTGAAGGAGGAACCCGTTGCGTTGGAGAAGGGTTCCGTGTTCCTTATTTATTTGCCTTCGGTTTTCCTAAGGTCTTCGATTGGGAATCGACGTTTAACCGATGGAAAAAAATGGGCCTCGTTCCTGATCTATGGTTCTTTAGGTCAACGCCCCGAGTGTGCTCAGTCGTCACTCTACGGGAGTTGGGGACACTCCCCTTCGTGCCACGAGGCACGGTGGCGAATCCGTGAGGACAAAACTTAGACGCTGCGCTCGGACCGCGTCGAACAACAGAGACAGTGGGAGAAGGGGGGAAGGAGAGAGGAGGCCGAAGGAGGAACGGGACGAGGAGGGAAGGAGGGAGTGTTTGAGGGCGGGAGGGAGGGCGGAGGGCTGCCACCCCACGTCTGGTGGCGGGCTTGGGACCTCTGGCCGACACGCCTGGCCCTGGTGGACATCAGACCTCAGACCTACGACGTGCGGAGTAGAAGTCGGAGAGGTTCGGAGGACAGGGGGGATAGAGAGAGGAGGTGAGGGAGGAGGAGGCAGAGGAGGTGGCGGAGGAGGCACAAGGTCCGTCGCTCGGTCGTGTTTTGTTCTGCCTCTTGGTGCCCCTTTTCCTTGTCCTCCCTCTGGCGACTGCAGGCGGGACGGGGCTCGAGCGTTTCGCTTCGACTGAAGGAACCAGTCCGCATCTTCGAGCTTCGAGGAAGAGGAGGAGGTGGTGGAGGAGGGGGGAAGGATGAGGATGAGGGAGGAGAGAGGAGGGTGGGAGGGAAGGAGAAAGGGCTGGAGGGAGGCAGAAGCAGGGAGGCAGAAGGGGGCAGAAGGTGACGGGGAGGAGGCCCCGGGCCCAGGCTCGGCGCACTGCGGGAACGCAGCTGCAGCACGAGCACCGGGAGCCGCCGCGGGTCCACGACGGCCAGCCGGGAGGCGACGCGCAGCGCGGGCGGCAGCGGCCGCCGCCCGCGCAGCGGCAGCGCCGCCTCGCGGGGCAGCCAGCAGGGGGCGCCCGGGGCAAGGGTGGGGGTTTCGCCGCCTCTTCCTTCTCCTCCCATCTCCCTTCTCACTCCTCCCTCCTCAGTCCTTCCCCCCGCCTCCCTCCTCCCACCAGCCCTCCATCATCCCCCCCTTCTCTTCACCCCACCTCTCTCCTCCACCCACGTTTCTTTTCTCCGCCCTCTCCTCCCTCAATTCCTCCCTTTTCCTCATGATCCTCCGCCTCCTCCTCCTCCTCGTCCTCCTACTTCCTCTCCTCCATCTCGTCCATTTCCTTCTCCCTCTTCTCGTCATCGTCGGGGGATGAAGGAGGGGAAGGGGGTGGACGAGTAGCCGGGGAGTGGGTGGGGGAGTTGGGAGGGGAGTAGGTGGGGACGGATTTTGGTTGGTTGGTTGGTTGGTTCTTTGGATCCTTTTGGGACCTATTGTGGGTCCGCGGGCACGGCGTCTTCAACATGGCTGCTGGGAGCTGGGATGTAGGCGGCTCAGAGATGCCCCAGCCTGGCCCAAACCTTACAATCGCTGGAAGGTCGGAGGGGGAAAGAAGGGCTCCTCCTCCTGCTCCTCCTCGTCCTCCTTCTCCTCCTCCTCGTCCTCCTTCTCCTCCTCCTCCCCCTCATCCTCCTCGTCCTCCTCCTCTTTCCCTAGCCGTTCTGGCTCAAGACGGCACGCCATCGTGAACGCAGCGTGGATACCGCTAGTCCGCGGCTAGTTCCAAAAGGTGTGCATCTGCACCCAAGGACGAGCTGCCGTCCATTCCTGCTCATTGCTCTAGCGTTGCAGGCCGCCTCCAATTTCGCGTCGTGCCTCGCGCCGCGCATCATTATCGTCTCGTCGAGGATCGATCCGAGCCTCCGTACCGCTTCGACGAGCGCTGCTGCGAGCCGCCAGTTCGCGCTGCCGTTCCTCGCCCAGAGCAATCAGCTTACCGACATCACTGTCCCTGCGCCGCACGCAATCGCTCTTCATGCACGCTCTGGCATCGCATCGGACCTTGTTTGTGGCGTCGTGTGGGGCACTCAAGCTCTCCACGTGGTACCCAGTCCGTTCGCACCATGGCGGCGCCATCACGCAGCTCCACCTCACACGCTCGTTCGGCATCTCGCAGTCTCCCGTCTTCGCATGCCTCACGTCGTCGTCACCAAAATGGATTCGGTGACCCAGCCGACCGCCGCGATCGTGACCAGGCCGCCCCCCGTCACCGACATCGCGCTGACGCTTTTCGGGGACCTCCCACCCGCCGTGCTGAGCCTGGTCCGGCCGGTCGGTCGTCTGGCAGAGCGGCGCCCCGCTCCGATCGATCTGCTCGCGCTGCTGCGAGACCAGCATCCGCAGGCCCGTCTGGCAATAGTTCCCAATGTCCTGTACATGGACTAGGCCCATGGCAGCATGCAGACTCTCTCGACAAGTTCCACGACCCGCGCAAGCCTGCGGCCGACCTGGAAAATTCCTGCACGTTCCCCGCGCAGGAGCCGTCTCAGGGTGTCCTCCCCCTCCTCCTTCTCCTCCTGCTCCTCCTCCTCCTCCCCCCCTCGTCCTCCTCGTCCCCCATCCCCTCCTCTTTCCGTAGCCGTCCTGGCTCAAGACGGCACGCCATCGCGCACGCAGCGTGGATACCGCTAGTCCGCGGCTAGTTTCAACAGGTTTGCATCTGCGCCCAAGCACCCAAATACGAGCTGCCGCCCATTCCTGCTCATTGCTCTAGCGTTGCAGGCCGCCTCCAATTTCGCGTCGTGCCTCGCGCCGCGCATCATTATCGTCTCGTCGAGGATCGATCCGAGCCTCCCTACCGCTTCGACGAGCGCTGCTGCGAGCCGCGAGTTCGCGCTGCCGTTCCTCGCCTCGAGCAATCAGCTTACCGACATCACTGTCCCTGCGCCGCACGCAATCGCTCTTCATGCACGCTCTGGCATCGCATCGGACCTTGTTTGTGGCGTCATGTGGGGCATTCAAGCTCTCCACGTGGTACCCAGTCAGTTCGCACCATGGCGGCGCCATCATCCAGCTCCACCTCACACGCTCGTTCGGCATCTCGCAGTCTCCCGTCTTCGCATGCCTCACGTCGTCGTCACCAAAATGGATTCGGTGACCCAGCCGACCGCCGCGATCGTGACCAGGCCGCCCCCCGTCACCGACATCGCGCTGACGCTTTTCGGAAACCTCCCACCCGCCGTGCTGAGCCTGGTCCGGCCGGTCGGTCGTCTGGCAGAGCGGCGCCCCGCTCCGATCGATCTGCTCGCGCTGCTGCGAGACCAGCATCCGCAGGCCCGTCTGGCAATAGTTCCCAATGTCCTGTACATGGACTAGGCCCATGGCAGCATGCAGACTCTCTCGACAAGTTCCACGACCCGCGCAAGCCTGCGGCCGACCTGGAAAATTCCTGCACGTTCCCCGCGCAGGAGCCGTCTCAGGGTGTCCTCCCCCTCCTCCTTCTCCTCCTGCTCCTCCTCCTCCTCCCCCCCTCGTCCTCCTCGTCCCCCATCCCCTCCTCTTTCCGTAGCCGTCCTGGCTCAAGACGGCACGCCATCGCGCACGCAGCGTGGATACCGCTAGTCCGCGGCTAGTTTCAACAGGTTTGCATCTGCGCCCAAGCACCCAAGTACGAGCTGCCGCCCATTCCTGCTCATTTCTCTAGCGTTGCAGGCCGCCTCCAATTTCGCGTCGTGCCTCGCGCCGCGCATCATTATCGTCTCGTCGAGGATCGATCCGAGCCTCCCTGCTGCTTCGTCGATCGCTGCTCCGAGCCGCGAGTTCGCGCTGCCGTTCCTCGCCTCGAGCAATCAGCTTACCGACATCACTGTCCCTGCGCCGCACGCAATCGCTCTTCGTGCACGCTCTGGCATCGCATCGGACCTTGTTTGTGGCGTCGTGTGGGGCACTCAAGCTCTCCACGTGGTACCCGGTCAGTTAGCATCATGGCGGCGCCATCGCGCCGCTCCACCTCACACGCTCGTTCGGCATCTCGCAGTCTCCCGTCTTCGCATGCCTCGCGTCGCCATCGCCAAGAGGGATTCAGTGACTAAGCCGACCGCCGCGATCGTGACCAGGCCGCCCCCTTCACTGACATCGCGCTGACGCTTTTCGGGGGCCTCCCACCCGCCGTGCTGAGCCTGGTCCGGCCGGTGTTTTTTTTTTTTGGGGGGGGGGGCCGCGCGGCGCCCCGCTCCGATCGATCTGCTCGCGCTGCTGCGAGACCAGCGCCCGCGGGCCCGTCTGGCAATGGTTCTCAATGTCTTCTACGTGGACAAGACCCAAGGCAGCATGCAACTGTTCTCGACAAGTTCCACGGCCACGACCCGCGCAAGCCTGCGGCCGACCTGGGCAAATCCTGCGCGTTCCCCACGCAGGAGCCGCTTCAGGGTTTCACTTTAATTGTTCGGCATGGGCCACCAGACAGTCAAGGCCACCCTCGGCGTGGTCATGCTGCGGCAGACGGACCGACCGCCAGCGGGGCCGCCGCCGCTGGCCTTGGTTCCTTTCGCGATGCTCACGAAGCAGAAGTCGTTCGTCCCGCGCCTCCAGGTCCTCCTGGAGTTCGCCCCCCTGCGCTCGCCCCTGCTTTCGACGCCGCTCTCCAACGGCTCATGCGTGACAGAATCGCACGCTCTGCCAGCGCCATCCAAGCGCAGGCCAACGCACATTCCCCGACGAGTCTCGCGATAGTTTCCGTCACTTTCTCTCGCGGCAAGTTATCGCTGCAGAGCGCCGCGTCGACGCCTTCCACGACGTCGTCGCACGCGCGCGCAGAGAGCAAGATCGCCAGGCAGCCGAGCAGCCGCGCATGCGGCCGCAGATCGACCAGACGCGCGACGCCTCTGCGCTTGCGGAGGCGCAGGTAGTTATCGCTGACCTCACCTAGCTCTCCGATTCTCACCGCGCCCCCGGCGCGACCCGCTTCGCCGCTGTCTGCAAGCGCCCCGTCGCGCCCGACGTCCTTTTTCAGCGACTTCCAGGAGTGGGTCGCCTCTCCTAATTTGCCGCGCGACGCTGGCGAATTGCGCGTGGGCGAACCTCTCGGGCGCTTCATCTTGCAGGTCAAGAGCGACAACGCCATCGCCATTCCTCGCGCCTCTCAGTCGTGCCTTGCGCGACCCAGCTGGCAGGTGGAAACGATTCGAATCCGCGGACGCGACTGGCGCCCGCGTGGGCATCTTGTTTTCAACCCAGACATCGCCGAATCGGATCCGCACCGATCTTCAATGCGAGAAGCTGCACCTAGCCCCTCCAGCATCGCTGCCCCGACGCGCCGTGGAGGGCCATCCGCTCCGAAGGCGAGATCTACAGCAATGCCGCGCCCATTGCCCGACTCGAAGTCAGAGGCCAAGCCGACCCGACCATCCTCGATTGGAACGAGCACGACATTTGTTGCGACCTCGACCGCGGCGGCGCCCGCATTTCGTTCGAGGCGCTCTTCGCGGACACAGCGACTGCCATGCGGCGGGCCTAATCACCCCTGGTCAACGTGGCCGGCGACAGAGCAACATCCCCAGCGTTGTCATCACTGGGGGACCCACGGCGCTCGCGTGCCACAAGCGGAAACATCGCCGTCGCAAGCAAGCCGCTCTGTCAAAGTATCTGAGCCGTCGCTGCGTCATCCTTTTCCAGGAGGTCCACGGCTCGGTGGCCCTGCCCCGCGTCTGGATCGGCGCGCAGCCATGCCCGCGCGCGCTCTTCTTCTCCGAGTTCGTGGCCAGCGACGCTGGCGAAGCGCGCCGCGGCACAGGCGGCGTCGCGACGCTCGTCCCATGGCTCGCGCGCGCGCAGCTCGAGCCGCTCCAGCCGCCCCGGCGCCTGGTCTTCAGCCACGAGGAGATCGTCAAGGGCCGCGCCCAGACCGTCACCACCTCGAATGCTGTCACACGCAACCCAGTCGTCATCCTGAACGCCCTTAACCACGAGATCGACGCCTGAGGCCGCGACCGCATTCATCGCGCTCGGCACCGGCACCGCGCCCCGCCTGCGCCGACTACCAGCGCCGTATCACCTCCGCCATCGGCGACTTCAGCGCG